TTTTCTCTTTCCCTTATGTATGCTCCTCTTTCTATTTTTCTTTATTTTTCTCTTTCCCTTTCGTATGCTTTCTCTTTGCATTACAATATCCTTAAGTGCCTGCATCTATGACCACCGTAACTGAATAAAAATATATATACTCTTCTTATATATTCCCTAAAACTAGATTTCACTGATATTTATAAATGCTATAGTTTTGATACCTAATCTGTTGATTAAAATGCAATGTAATAAAAAAAATAGAAGTTAAGCCAACTCATCCAGAAATGCAGCGCGATGAAAGTTCTCTTTGCTTAAAAAACGAGGCTCCTTATCCTGGCGTAGATATTATGGTTGCTATATGCACCATGTTGCCATGTCAGCTCCATAGGTCACATGGAATAGATGTAGTCCCATAGGTCACATGGAATAGATGTAGCTCCCATAGGTCACTCGAAAATCATGGGTCTGGTACACATATTCATAACACTGATAACACTGTAACCTGGAGAGCTCATTTCCTGAATAAAAGTTGCATTCTTGTATTCAAATCTATTTGTTGAGGCAGATTATATGTTTGGGAATAATTTGTTATTACACTATCTTGCGGAGAAGGGGTTTCAGATTTTTGTATTTGTAAGAAAAGTCGCAACTGCTTGTTAAAAAATAACGCAAACATTATTTCAAAACAGGTGCAAAGTGTCTGCTGGACAAAACACTTCCCGCGTTGATATTGTCGTTGTTTTCAACCTCTTGCAAACGTAACCACTATAAATCCCTATATAACGATTTTCATTGTAAAAACAATACAGTAGATGCAGACGGAGGGCTTTTATAACTTTTTTTTTTTTTTTTGCTTGTTGCGTAAACCCGGACATGCACTCTCTCTCTCTCTCTCTCTCTCTCTCTCTCTCTCTCTCTCTCTCTCTCTCTCTCTCTCTCTCTCTCTCTCTCTCTCTCTCTTTCTCTCTCTCTCTACAGGCATACATACCTATATATGTACATTTGTGTATATATATGCGTGTGTGTGTGTGTGTGTGTGTGTGTGCGTGCGTGCGTGTGTGTGTGTGTGGCGGACAGCGCAAACTCACCAGATTGAGGACGTTGAAGAGTGCGATTTCGAAGTGGATGGTTATGATGTCGTCGTGAGAAAGGATGGGTCGTGTGTGCTTGTTGTAGTTTTTGAACAGGTCGTCGTACAACAGGTGCTGGTCGGACGGACTGTGGCCCACATGCAGCACCTCGTCCTGGCCGCTGCCTCCGTCTCCGATACCAATTCCTTCTGCGTGGGTAGATCTTAGCATTTATGGTGTCTAAGAGTTGGAGGCGAATATACAAAATAGTTGGATTTACGTCGTGCACAACACTAAGTCCTTGCTCGTTCTCAGGGGACATTTTCCTTCAGAAGGACACAGAATTGAATAAATGCTGAAATATATTTTGTATAGGTGTGTAACTAGCCTCTCTAACAGGGATTCGAACACAGTTTAGGTAAGGTCACAGCCAAAGAGAAGTGAACTTGGCAGTTAGACCAACACGCCTCACTATAGAATCTCATTAAGGTCTATGATGGCTCAATAAATCTACTCATATTTGACAACTGACAGCGAGGGTTTATAGACAATCAGAACTTTGTCATATATATGTATTAGAATATAATGACATTCTTATATTTCCGTGAGAATGTATATCCAACGCATTACGGTAGTTTATCTATTCATCTAAAACTATTCTTCATATAACTATTTTGTCCCCCTCTCCCTTTTCCGACACAGGCGCGCCTTACCCTTCGCCGACGACTGCGTGGCCTTGGCGATGGGCACCTCCCCGCCCGTCGCTGCCTGCTGTGCCTGAGTCTTTGGCATCGGGCCTTCCCGAGGGCGCCCCTTGCCCGTAGGATGCAGCATCACTACAGGTTTTTTCCCTGAATCCTCCAACAAGGACAGGGTGAGTGGCTGGCTGTTTCCCTCTCCCTCCAACCTTGTCCTCGAGGTAGTAGAGGCCAGGGTCCCCTCTCGGCCTTCCGTCGGGGGCGTTGCCGCGGGGTCGATCGCGGCCGAGAGAAGGACGGTGGTGCAGAGATACCCTGGGTTTGCAGAGTATATGGAAAGAAACAAGAGTCGCAAATTGGAACATAGGTAATATAAATAAATGTGGGTCTACCTCTCTTTCTCTCACTCAGTCGGTCATCATATATATGTGATAATGAGAATGACAATAAAGATGTTGATGACAATAACAATCATAATCATACAGCTGATAATAAGAATTTTACTAATGTTGCTGATAGATAATGGGAATCATAAAAAAAGAGTACTACTCTCTTCCTCTTTCACCTTCCTTCTTATGTCTTTCCCTTCCCCTCTCGCTTTTCCTTTCTCTCCCCTTCTATCCTTCTCCTTAGATTCACTACTTCCATATTAAGCCATACATCTGTCCCTTCCTCCTTCCCTCCTCTTCCTCCTTAAACCCTCCACCTCCTTCGCTCCCTTATCCCTTCCCTCCTTCTCCTCTTTCTCCTCCCTTTCCCCTTACCCATCTCCTTTTCCTCTCGAAAACCCTTCTGTTTCCCCTCTGTTTCCACTTCCTCATCGTCTTCTCCATTCTCCCTTTCTCTTTCTTCTACCATTTCCTTTCTCCTCCCTTTCCTACCTTTCTTATAACAACAGTAACAATAATGATTCTAATAACAATAATGATAATGATAGAGCTAAATAAGATTCGTATAAATTTGTGCACGTGTTTGTGTGTGTGTGTGTGTGTGTGTTATTCTTTGATATTAATGCTTTCAGTTATCACTGTTAAGTGATACAAATACATAGAACAAAAATAAATCAAATTAAAATGTCTAACTTCACGTCTTGATTTCTGGCAGTTCTAATGCCACTTAGAATTTCCTGAAATGTGAAATATACAAAAAAAAAACATCAAACGTGTTTACAATCTTGACATGAATCAACTTGAACTATCCGCGGCCCACGGATACTCATGATAAAAAGTTGATTCATTGCAAAGTAGAAAAAACATCACTTTACAATCTTGTGTTGAAATGAAACTGAAGAATCTCTGGTAAGTGAGGTGACTATAGGTTTATGGTCTTGATATATGTAGAAATTTATAAGTGAATGAATGAAAGAATACATACATACGCACATACACATACACACATACCAGCATGGAAAGTACGGCATCTTGGGTGTGCACGAAAAAAAAATGAAGTGTGCAGTGGTTACTAAGTGTACACTTCAAGAGTACTCATCCAGAAACTTTTTAGATAACCTTCAATTAGACTATTAATAAATTCATCGTTCCATATCGATGTTACATAATTATTTTGATCGTTGATTGCCGTTAATTATCAGGTTCAACTCCAGAAACTCAAAAATCTCGGTTGTGCATCTGCCGCACATTCCATACTCACACACACACACACACACACACACACACACACACAACACACACACACACACACACACACACACACACACTACACACACACACACACACACACACACACACACACACACACACACACACACACACACACACACACACACACACACACACACACACACACACACACACACACATCACACACACACATACACACACACACACACACACACACACACACACACACACACACACAACACACATACACACACAACACACACACACACACACACATATATATATATATATATATAGTATTATATTATATATATATATATATATATATATATATATATATATATATATATATATATATATATATATATATATATATATATATATATAATATATATATATGTACATATATAATATTATATATATGTATCACATATATATTATCATCATTGTTATCAGCATCATCATGTTCATTATCATTATTATCATTACTATTATTGTTTCATTATCATGTTAATAGTTTTTGTTATTATTATCATCAGTATTATCATCAATATCTTTATTACTTTATATTATTACTATTATTATCATTATCATTTTTATCATCATTATCATTATTACTATTAATATTATTATTATTATAATTGTCATTGTTAAAATCATTATCATTGCCATTGATATTATTATCTTTATTAGTATCATTATCGTTATTATTGTTACTATTATTATCATTGCAATTATCATTATTGTTGTTGTTGTTATTATCATTATTATTGTTATTATTGTTACAATTATTATTATCATTATCATCCATATTGATATCATTACTTTTATAATTTTCATTGTTAATAAGATTATCATTATTATGATTATTGTTTTTTGTTATCATTTTTATTAGTACCATTATAATTAGTATTGTTATTATTAGTAGTATTGTTATCCTTATTAGTATTATTCTTATTTTCAGTATTATAATTTTTGTTACCATCATTATTATTATTGTTATTATCATTATCATTATTTTTATCATTATCGTTATCAGTCCTTTTATCATAATCAGCATTATCAATATTGTTACCATTTTTGTGATAATTATCATGATTGCCTTTATTATTTTCATTATCATTATCATCATTATTATTATTTTCATTATCATCATTGATATTATTATCATTATCATTATTATTATTATTATTGTTGTTGTTATTACTCTCATCAATATTATTATTTTCATCTTTATTATATTTATCATCACAATCATTATTACTACTATCATTATCATTATCATTCCTATTGTTACTATTATTGTAATCAGTCATGACTGTTATCATTATGATTACTATTATCATCATTATCATTTTCCACCATTTTCATTGTCATTATTACTATCATTACTGTCATCAGTGGTGATATGTTTAGCATTATCATCATTATTATAACATACACTTCATATGTAAATTACACAAATACCATTTTTTTCGACCGTTAAAAAGAGTTGCCGATCTCTGCTTTGGTTTTGATCTCATGAATTTCTTATTCTTTGAAGGTAATCCTTTATCTTTTTCTTGTTATTGAGATTGTAAACCGTCCCAATAATTGTAATTGTGAAAGAATATGAAAAACAAACTGGAAAATTTATTATTAACGAATATAATTTTATTAGATATGCAAAGTATTAGTCAGTTCTTGGTGTATACAAAAAATAGAGATTTTGACCT